CTCATATGCAGGCTGATTTATATTAATGTCCAACTGAGCTAAATGAGGCTGACTCCCTAGTATGTAGTGACTAGGCCCATAGCCTAAGGAGTAATGCAAAGGTGTTGAAAACTGTTCACATCCTAATTTTAGCATGCCTTGAAAGCTGAATACATAAATAGATGTGCTCCCTGGGAATAGTCACCCAGAAAAGAATGCTAATTTCAAGTTTAATTTTACATGGAGCTAGTATTCAGGTGGCTCTAGACTGAAGAAGGGAAGGAAGGAACAAGGAATTAAAAATAGCCTTTCATGGCTGCTATCGCTAACCCTGAACCGCTGAGGAGGAGGAAAAGGAAGAAGTGGCTCGATGGCACCTTTCCAAATCATTGCATTGATTTGGGGTCGCCCCCCCCCCCCCGGATTCCCCCTGCAATGCCTGCCCCTTCAATCCCAATCCATTCTGAGTAGAGCCTTGGAGGGTTCATCCACCTCTAGTTTGTTCTCTTACTGTTATTTGACCATAACGCTTGTGCAACTGCATCTGACAGAAATAGAAACCTCGCCTCAAAAGCAGCAGCAAGAGGGAATATCCAAGAATTCTGGAAATGGTCTGCTGCATCCTTGGATGAGGCAGAATTTAACACCAAACATAACCATGGAAACAGAGATGTAGCTTTTTCTAAGCCACGTAGAGCGTTGGAACATAAAGCCTACAAGAGCAAGGAGATGTGCCTGCAATTAGGAAGAGCTTCCAAAGACGGGCACACAATTTATTCAGGGAGAAGTGACAACGGAAAGGAGATAAAAGGAGGAAATGGTCTAAGCAACCAGCTGGGTTGCATACCAGATGCAAAATGGAACTAACCTGTCCCGACCCTGATGTCTTGGACCGCAACTCCCATCAGCTCCAGCTGGCACTGTCATGCTTCCATCAGCCCCAGCATTGCACAGGATGATGGGAATTTTGGTCCAGGAACATCTGAAGGGCACCAGGTTGGGGTAGGCTGCTCTTGCCCATTTCAAAAGAAATATTAAACCAGGTAGAAGAAGACCAAGTCAGTGGTACAACACCAAAATTTGGCACCGTCCCACCTCTTGCCTTCCATTCCACATCATAGTTGCTGTGCCCCCGAGGAGCCACACTCAGTGCGACTGAACTGGTCGTGCTTCCCTAAATCTACCTCTGACTAAGAGAGTAGGGATTAATAATAATAATAATAATAATAATTATTATTATTTATACCCCACCCTCCCCAGCTAGAGCCGGGCTCAGGGTGGCTAACACTAATAAAATTACAATAAAACATAATGGGGGAAACAAACAAACAAAAATCAGTTTACTAAAATACGGGTTAAAATACAATTTAAAATGCAGCCTCATTTTAATAGTAGCCCAGAAATCAAAACCATAAGGGGAGGGAAACATAAGGGTCGGACTGAGTCCAAACCAAAGGCCAGGCAGAACATCTCTGTCTTGCAGGCCCTGCAGAAAGATGTCAAGTCCCGAAGGTCCTAGTCTCTTGTGACAGAGCGTTCCACCAAGTAGGGGCCAGTGCTGAAAAGGCCCTGGCCCTAGGTGAAACCAATCTAACCACCTCGCGGTTCCAAAGTGTTGTTATTTATGGACCTTAAGGTCCTCCGCGAGGCATACCAGGAGAGGCGGTCCTGTCGGTACATGGGTCCTAGGCTGCATAGGGCTTTAAAGGTCAAAACCAGCACCTTAAACCTGACCCTGTACTCCACCGGGAGTCAGTGCAGCTGGTAAAGCACTGGATGAATGCGATCCTGTGACAAGGACCCCGTAAGGAGCCTTGCAGGTGCATTCTGCACCTGCTGGAGTTTCTGGGTCAGCTTCAAGGGCAGCCCCATGTAGAGCGAGTTACAATAATCAAGCCTGGAGGTGACTGTCACATGGATCGCTGTGGCCAGATCAGGGCGAGAAAGGTAAGGGACCAACTGCTTGATACGGTGGAGATGGAAAAATGCCACCTTTGCTTTGGCTGCAACCTGCGCCTCCACGGAAACGGAGGCGTCGAATGTTACACCCAAGCTCTTGTCAGAAGGCGCTGGCACTAACTGAGCCCCTGCAAGAGATGGGAGTTGGCCCCCCAACCCCATGTCTTCCTGACCCAGCCAGAGGACCTCTGTCTTCAAAGGATTTAACTTCAACCGGCTCCCACGCAGCCATCCAGCCACAGCTTCCAAGCATCTGGTCAGTGTGTCTGGGGCCGAGAATTTGCAATGTCAACAGTTTTCCCAGGAAGATTGTTGCACAAGTCTATGGCCCGTTTACTGTGGTAGCACTTGCACTCTGGAACTCCCTGCCTACTGACATCAGAGAGGCGTCCTCACGGTACTCCTTTCAGTGCCTGCTAAAAACAGCTTTTAAAGACAAGTCTACCCAGACATGTAAATGTTGCTGTATGTTTTTAGTTTATTTCTGATCTTATCTTTTGAATGTTTCAAAGGGTGATTTTTATTGATAATTTTATTGTTTTATTCTCTTTGTATACCGCTTTGAGGGTTTTCTTTTAACAATCAAGCAGTGTATAAATGCTAGGAAATAAATAAGGAAATAAACAACAAATTAACTGAAAAGTTGGTGATAACAGACCTTTCATGGATGAAAACAAGGGCAAGCTCCCCTTCTGTCACCTCAGCGATCTAACTGAGCGGTTCCTGCCTTCCTAACCACTGTTGGTCCTTTGGTCCTTCCTTCCTTCCACTTCTAATGCATCTTCCTTCCTTCCTTCCATCAATGCATCTTTCCTCCCAAAGGAGCCCCGGGCAGCAAGGAGCACAACAAGGTGTTGTATTCAACACAGTGCTGAGGGAAAGGGCTGTAGCATCTTCTGCACATGCAGAACGTCCCAGGTTCAGTCCCTGCTGGCATCTCCACGTAGGGCTGGAAGAGATTCCCTGCTCGAAACCCTGGACAGCCGCTGCCGGTCAGTGTAGACAATGTGAACCAATGGTCTGACTCATCTAAGGCAGCTTCCTATGTTCCATCAGTTTGAGGGTTTTTCCTTGTGTGATGCAATGTTCTACCCTCTCTTCCCCACACCTGGCACTTGAGGTCAAACCCGGAGACCCAGCTACCCAATATCTTTCTCTGGGATGCTGCCCACACCCTTTAGTCCTCATGCCTAACAGAGACAGACAGGCGCAGGGATAGTGCATGCAATGGCATTGGCTCCCATTCCATTGCGGGCTACCTTTGACTCACAGTTGCCTGCGCTGTCAGAATTTGCAGCTAAACGTGACATGATGCTTAATGGTTCAAGGGCAGGGTCTCTTTTTACAACTATAAGCAGCAGCTGTAGGTGCCTTGCCCCCACCCCAAACCCACTACAGTGGTACTTTGGGTTATAAACACCTTGGGTTACAAACACTTTGGGTTACAGATTCCGTTAACCCGGACGTAGTACCTCAGGTTAAGAACTTTACCTCGGGATGAGAACAGAAATCGCACAGTGGCAGCATGGTGGCGGCAGCGGGAGCCCCCGTTAGCTAAAGTGGTACCTCAGGTTAAGAACGGTTTCAGGTTAAGAACAGACCTCCGGAACAAATTAAGTTCGCAACCAGAGGTACCACTGTATGTTTGGGTTGGGTCTGCAGCATGCAGGGAGAGGCAGTAAACACTTTCCTCAGATCCCACACCCGCAATGAGCACTTCCTCCTGAATGCTGCTGTTAGTTGAGGGAGAGGGATCCCATTGACACCAGCAGAGGCTTCCCTCCTGCCGCAAACAGAGTTGGAGAAGGGGGATGGTAGTAGGCAGAAAAAGGGTTAACTCCCTTCGCCCTGTGAGGGAAATCAGGCCCACCCACAGTAATTTAGCCTGATAAAACATTGACATGCTTGAAGAGGTATTTAACAGACTTTGGTCAAAGCCACAGCCTAGATTTAAAGCATCCCCAACATAGATTTAAAGCACATGACTTCCCCCAAATAACACTGGGAACTGTAGTTCCCCCTCATAAACATACAATTCCCAGCATTCTTAACAAACTACAGTTCCCAGGATACTTTGTGGGAAGTCATATCTGGTTTTCAGCGATGTCTGAAATAAGGATGGAGCTATGTAGAGGCACTGGTGGCTTCATGGTTTTTCCTGCATCATTATATTTGCATAGCATAAACCAGGGGTCGGCAACCTAAGGCCCATGGGCCACAAGCAGCCCATTTAACTGGCCCATGAGCCGCCCTTGAACTGAGTCGCTCGCTCAGCGATTCCCCGCATGCTGCACTAAACCGGCACAGCGCAGTGCGCGGACTCGTTTCTGCGGCACCGGAAATCGTGTCTGCACAGAAGCAGACACCGAAAATCGGATGATATAGCGACATATCACCCAGTCCAAGAAGTCCTGTGCTTTAAATGCATGTTGTGAATCTGCCCTAAGAGAAATGGCTTCCCCCATAAAGTAACCTGGGAAGCATAGTTTGCTAAGTGTCGCCTAACCACTCTTAGCTCCCAGGATTCTTTGGGCAGGAAGCCAGGATGAGTGCTTTACATTATTGACGTCTCATCATGCCCACCAGATGTTTTTGACAGCAACTCCCATTAGCCCCAGTACTTAGCTTGTAAGCTCTTTGGGGCAGAGGCCTCCCCTTTCCTACCATTTTGCTTCTGTTATTCTGTGAAATACCAAGAGAAGGATCAATGCTCAAATTACAGGGAAGATGAGAAAGAACAGGGTATCGTTCTTGCAATCCATGGGCCCCAATCTGTGTCTCATTCCTACTGGAATGAAACCATGCTGCTCCCACAACCTTCTGAAAACCGTGGCTAAGGAGGACAGCCGGACCCCGCTCTGCTCCACCAGCAGATCGTCGCTTGAGTCAACAAAGCAGACACTCCTCGTCCTCCAGGCCCAAAGCCACAGAGGTTGAAAGAGGTTGGAAAGATTCTCGTGAAAACAGGGAGGGGGTGAAAGGATGTCCCCACCTCAAAGCATTCTGAAAGAGGAACTACGGGGTCTCATCACAGAATTCTGTACTTTGAGCACTGACAAGAGCCAGTGAAGCTTGGTGGTTCGAGTGTCAGACTAAGACTTGGGAGGCCAGGGTTCAAATCCCTACTCACTGGGTGACCTTGGGGGCCAGTCACTGCCTCACAGGGTTGTTGTGGGGGAGGAGGGGGAGAACGGCATATGCCACCTTGAGCACTTTGGATGAAAAAGTTGGGATATAAATGCATAAATAAAAAAAAATATGGATGGCCCTGGTTGACAAACAGCAGCGCCTAGAGCAACCACAGACCTGGTAGTTGGAAAGGGAAGTAGGATTGTTTTCAAAGTGAAGCTCAGGGCTGCAACACTCTCTCCTCCTTAGACCTACTGAGCATGTTCCGATTATTTCGCAGGGGCTGTGACTCATGAGACCTCCTGGAAGAGGAGACTGGGTGAGCCATGGCTGCAGCAGCCCTCACGATGAGGAGCTTGCTTTGACAGTGAGAAAACAAAAGGAAGAGATGAATATTCAGCAGGGATGAGGCCAAGCCCAGGTTAAGTGTGGCTCAGGAGTCCTCCCTCCTGTCCTCCTTCCTAACCGCACACAAGGTGGAGGAAGAGAACCTCACAGACACAAAGAGGACCCTGAATCCGGCCCAGAGAATCAGCCGCCACAGGGACACTTCCCAGCATTTTCCAGTCACTTCAAAGTGCAGAGCTAAGACCCACCTCTGTTGCCAAGTATCTATGTGTGAACCCGCTGCCTAGGAAACCAGAGGAATCCCCAGAGATCAAACACCAGAGAATCTCCATGGCATGTAAAGCCAGATCAGAAGGTTTTCATTTTTAGGGATCAATGTATCCATAATACACCTGTGTGTACACACACACACGCACACGCACTTTAAGATGACCAGCAGCCAATTCTGTCCAATGGGCTGCTGCTGTGTTGTAGCATACAGGGCTTTTGGCCACGGTCGGTTTAAAATTGTTGCAAAAACAGGCCAATCTGGTTTATGCAAACCGTGCAAGAGAGTAACCTCCACCCCCATCCCCACCTATATTCCGCTTCCAGCTCAAGAAACACCGCCTGGGCTCTTCGGAATTCACTCGCGTGCTGGCGAAGGGAGCAAGCAGCCCACGAAAAACAGCAGCAGCAGCAGCAACCCCAGCACATTGGGGTTTTCCTTTTTGCTGCAAGATGGGGTGAGGTGGGCGGCACCTTTCGACCCACAGATTCACTGGTGCAAAACATTCAACGCCAAATAGGTTTTACCTATTTCTTTAAAAAAACAACAACAACAGAAGCAGAGACAATAAAGTGGAAAGCCGACTTGTCGAAGGTGCGGATGAAATCCGAAAGGTTTGCCTCCTCCTTACCCGTTTAGCGCATCTTCCTTGCAGGGGCGGTTATTCGCTTTCCTCCCCGGCAGCGCGGTCCCTTCTCCTCCTTCCAGTCAAAGGAGCCCACCGGAGGAGCCCATCCTGCGATCTCCGGATCTGTCCCTCGCCGCGCCTCGCGCCTCCTCCTCCTCCTGGTCTCCTTGGGCGCCTTCGCTGCTCTGCGCGCCGCGGAGAAAGAGATCCGCCCAGGGAGGTGGGGAAGATGCCGGGCAGGGGGAGGAGGAGGCGGCGGCAGCAGCAGCAGCAGCATCCAAAAGGGACCCGAGACCCAGGAACCGGGCGGCGGAGGCAACCTGCCCGCCTCGCCCCGTCCGCTTCGGCTGATGACAAAAGGGCGGCTCCCCTCCGCGCCCCGAGCGCCCCCCTCCGGACGGCTGCGCGCACAGCCAGAGGCGCCGCGTCCCTCGGCCACCGAGCCGCCGCGCTGCCTCGTCTTCTGCTGCAGGGAGGAGCGGTGACGCAATGGGCCGTTGCCCCGAGGAAGCCCCCCCCCCAGCCGGGTGGGGGGACCCCGATGGGTGGGCCGGAAGGATGCGCCCCTCTCCTTTAAGGGGCTGGAAGGAGGAGAAGTAGCCGACGATGGAGCTGGCCTCCCTTAGGAGGGGCTTTATTTGGCTGCGCGGCACTTGTTTTAATGGCGTTACTTAGGAGTAGGAATAGGCTGCTGCTCAGGAGTCGACAGGGGAAGGGCACCTGCTTGGCACCCCGAAGCTCCCCAGGTAGGGCGGGGAGAGAAACGCCCGTCCAAGATCCCGGAGAGCCGTCGCTGCCAGTCCGTGTAGGCAGCACGGGGTCGAGGGACCCAATGGTCTGAGTCGGTGCGCTGCGGCGGCGATCAACAGACCTCGTTGCGCATGTGGGAAGATGCTGCCTTTGAAATGTAGCGCGCATCTGGCGCTGGCGCGGGAGGAGCAGGGCGCCACTCTGTGGCCCGCGAGACGGGAGCCTCGGATGCGGGGCTGCGGGAGAGGGAAGAGGCAAGGAGCCAGGACCACCTCTGCCGATCAGGGGTCACGTTTTTGTGAAACGATCTCGCCCAGCCCGATGAGATCCTTGATGGAAGTAAGTAACTGGGTTGTACGCTTAGAGTTCGCGGGGAGGTTATACGACACTGACTATTGAGCATTCATTCGGGGTTTTTCTGCTGTGGGGATGGATGCCGCTTTTCCACAATGAGCTGCGCCCAGAGCGGCTTACAGCAAACATGCAAAGCATCACAATGCAGAGCACTAGAAATGCAAATAAACAAAATGCAGAGCAAGTCAGTGATTTCAGAAATCACAAAAAGCAACAATTTGGCAATCACAGAATAAATTCAACGTTACAAACACACCCACAAAACCCCCAAATCATCCAGGCTTAAGTACATAACCACAGAGCAAAACAAGAGTTAACCAACGGTGAAGTTTCTGGTCTTGCCGCTCTCCAAGGAGCCTGGCTTAAATGCGGTTCAGCTGGCTCCCATATCCTTTCTCCAGAGGAGGCTGATACAGCAGCAAAAGGCAAATGTCGGAGAAGGCAATGATGGTGAGTCTCTTCTCCAGCCTCCTAGAAGTACCAACTGCTGGTTATTGCACTTACTGGACAGGTAATATGCAGAAAGGCGTTTCTCCCATCGCTTTTGACCCGTAAACAGTTTTGGGGCAGGGGGAAGAAGCAGAAAAAAATGGCAAAAAAACTCTGCGCTAATTGGGCAACCTGAATTTGCTGGTATGTGATGGAATCCCACATGCAAATTGTGACAGTCTGTTATCCCACTGTGTGTTGTGTTCCTTGTTGCTGTATGGGTGTGAGGCTCTGCACACTCCTGGGGGCTAATGCACAACTGTGTCACATAGTTCTGATTTCTCTGCTTCTGAGGACTTTCCATTGAAATCCGCCTTGATGTTGTTGTTTTTTAAATGATATTTATTAAAAGTTTAACAATTACAGAAAAAAAAGAAAAAAAGAGAGATTAAAAAGTTACAATACAATACATCAAAAAACAATAAAAAACAAAAAACAATAAAAAACAATACAGCACAACAATAAGGGAAAAATAACATAAACATTTAAAAACAAAAACATTTAAGAAAACACATCCAGTATTTCCATATCCTTATCTTTCATTTACTTGTTTCATCGACCTCCTCACACCTCCCTTTTTTGTATTCTAATTCAATTTAGCTGTTTCAACAAATCCTTTCCCTCTCTCTCAATTTTTGTTCTATAAATTACCTTAACCCTATCTGACCTTAAATTTTACCCTGAAATCCGCCTTGATGTTCCCACACTAGTGTGTGGTGCTTGATGGGATGCCTCCATGCTATGTGTTGTTGTCTGTCCCTCCCACCCCCATCCTCAGTTAGTACTTCTTTGCCCTCTGGAAGTTACATGAACTAGACGTCCATTATGGACAGGTATGCAAGGATTAGTTTACCTGTGCATGCACACCTGGTCCCCCCCCCTTTCTCTTAAATGGTTTTGTTCACAGAGTATTGCAACAACAAACTTTTACCAATGCCAAAACTTCACGCATGTTTCATGGAAGGGAAAACAGACAATTTTAAATTTCATTTTTGAAATCATGTTTTTCAATTTACTGATTTTGCACAGAGCAGCATTTAAAATGATGTTCATATGACGCACCAGCCCTTCCAAGTTCAGAACCAACAGCTCACCCTAGATAGCCTTCTCCAGGGCAAAGAATGACAGGGTGAGGCAGGGGAGTCTCTGATCTCCAGACCCTTCCCCTGCCCCACCAACACAGAAAGCCACAGTGTGGCCCAGAGAATAACATAAACAGTACTTTTTTATTTTTTTATTTTTAAAGGTCAAATTTATTAGGAGATTAAGAGATGTATTATACATGGACTATAAATACAGCACAGCTGACTTTATTCACAGTCAGACGCAGAGACAGCCAATGCCAACCTATTTTGTGGACACCCTTGGTCTTTTGTTCCAAGAAAAGTTTGCACTATAAGACTTGGATTTAGGTTTTGGAATCCTCTGCTCTTGAACATCATAGCTCCAGCCATTCCCCCCCCCCCCAGCAAAGGCTATAGTAGCTTCTTTCGTAAAAAGGTCATTAACACATTGGACAGAGGATCCGCGGAAGATGCCCAGCCCATCAGTGGGTTTTCCCAGCACTCCCTTGTGCCAAATTCTATCTTCCTTTTTTTGTATTGTTAACACCAGCTTGCATGGCATCACGGGCTGGAACAAAAATGTGAACTTTTCTGGTTATGATATGCTCCTCTGGTATACCTGTTAAAGGTGAAAAGTCTAATTTTTCATCAACTGTGATGAGTTGCGTGTCTTGAGCTTGGTCCTGTGCCAGCCGCCATGTGGAAGTGTTCAGTGACTGGGTCTGAAGCCGCTGGTGGAAGCAACAGCTGCTGCTTCTCTCCCTGCCCCATGCGCCAAGTGCCTCGGCAGCCGCTGACATTGAGAGCTCCTGCAGAAGCAGCACCGCTGCCATGTTGGTGCAAACAGCTTCTGCGGAGATGGGCATAAGCAGTACGTTTCACACACACCCATAAGGGGTTGGATGAATGGCCCTTTGGGTCTCTTCCAACTCTACAATTCCATGATTCTAAGCATACACGGCCCAGGAACACAAAACATGGAGACTGTTTTTTCTTTCCCCACTTTTCCTGCAAAGGCCATTTTTCTTTTTGACCACTGCAGTTTTGCAGAAGAGCAGTTCTGTACAAAGCAGCTGCTTTAAGAGTAAAAATAAATTACAGCAA